CCTAATATAATACATCTTAAAAGTACTTGTGAACTTTCTCTTGAGATATTTTGATATCACCATTGTTTGTAGCAAGGCTTGATATTTCCTAGGAATCAAGAAAATAACCTGCAAATGCCAGGAGAGTCTGTTCAAATTTGACTGATTTGATAAACAATACATAGTCCAGACAAAAGCATCGCTATAATTTGCAGCAGTATGCACTCACACTGACAGACATTCAGATGCACAGGTTACCTTAGTAATGCTGGAGTATGAGCTCTAAACCGATAATAAATTTAGATAAATCCACAGTGCATTAGGCTAACCCAAGTTGTTCATTTGTTGTTGGATAAGCATGAAGATGTGGACAATTGTCAAAGACAAAGCTGACGCACAGTAATATTTTTAGCTTTTTTTTTACCTGAGTCCTTCATCCGCTTGCTATCACTCACCTCTACGCAGTGTGTATGTTAAGTTACTCTTCAGTCCTGTTTTGGAACAAGTCAGCTAGTTACCTATGGCCAAACTAGGATACGGTCCTCAGATAGTTTCTTACAGGGGATCAGGAGAAGCTGGCTCCTCTCAGAATGGCCAAACACTGTAAAGCATTGTGCTGTGCATTTGTGCCATATTCCTGCGTGTGCAACACATATTGTTGTCATTATTGTTGTACTACAAGTCACTGTGGTAAGCTGCAGTACAGCTCTCCCATCATTTCATCCACAGTAAGCTGAAAAAAAAAAGGTCATAGTGTCAAAAATTAGGTTTAGAATCGCAGGGGTACCACTTAAGAATTAAAGGCTATCTAGGGCAAATATGAAGCGTGGACATGGCTAATCAACTCTAAATGAATTCTGTGGTCCCAAGCCCATCTGTGCTGGTTGTCTTGGAAACCAGAGGTCATCTGCTTTGGGGTATACTTGGGTGTTTACTTGCTTTTAGCAGTATTGATGTAGCCAGCAGAAATCCACCAAATTTGCTCTACTCTTTTCTTCAACACAACCATTTCAAATCAGTTTCATTTAATCTCCCTGCCTTGTGAAGAAAGTCAGCATAGCTTTTATCTTGGTTTTATGGAGTCTGCAAAATTAGGTACCTCTGTGCATATAATTGCTTGTTTTGGTATTATACGTTCTTCTGTATTTTCTAGTTCACAGAAACTCTTTTTCTGGCATCGTAGTTAGCTGTAGCTCAAGCTGTAGTAGCATATATTGCAGAACAGCAATCTCAAGATCATTCTTCAGTCCATTGTTACATGTGCTGGGGCAGGGTTTATTTTCATTTTATCCTAATTTTTGTTATATCTGAATGTCTTTTGGGTTCTTTTGGTGTGATTTAAAAGTTACAAAGTTGTGATACGAAGCACTTGAATTGTAGGGAAAACACAGGTTTCCAAATAATTCCATTCCGCTTTAAATAATTCTTTTCAACTTTTCTGTCCGTATTTCTCCCTACAAGGAGAAATACGGACAGAAAATATCCCTCTGTAGAGGGGATATTTTGTGTTTGACCTAGATTACTTAGTTCAGGAGTTGGAATGTTGTTAAAGAATGAGCAAAAGCCTACAAGAAGAGAACAGAGGAGACTTGTGGTTAAGTTGCATGCTACAAATGCTGCACATACTTTGCTGTATGCCTGTCTCTTCTCCAGACACCGGACAATCTGGCACATGTCCATGCTTGGTGTGTTCCTCATTATGTGCGTTCCCAGGGACCTCAGGTCTGATTACTAGATTACTGAATAACCCACACTTCAACTTATGCCAGCTAAAGTAGTGAGTTATTGATATATCTCTACTTACAGAGCATTTCTGGACTAGATTAATGAAGAGGCACCCATCTGGCCTTGTTGTTTTGTTGTTCCTTCCCCCCCACACTCCTTCACAAGTCATGCTGTTTTGCCAGCATGCATTTGGGATTTGGGAGCTGGTTTTGCATGGGATGACTTGGGCAAAAATGATGGTCGGTCGTTTTCATATTATCTGTCATTCTGTTCTCTCTGCCATTCAGCAGCATTTCTCTGAGCTTCATACATTTTCTCTGAGCTTCCATTTACTACTAGAATACTTGTAGAATCCCTTCCTTTTACCCTTGATGCTCTTCACTTGCCTTAGCTCCAGCTGGACTGTGGGCTTCCAAAGTGGCCTATCCTTTGTGCTAACACAGTGTTTTTATGGTCCTTTGTATCCTGTCCTTGACTCTACTTCTATACACTCCTGTTTTGCATTTGTGTTCGTTGAGAAACTCCCTGTTTAGCCAACCTGACCTTATGCAAAATTTTGTGGTCTTCTGTACAATAAGATGCTTTGTTCCTGAACTCTCAAGAAATTCTTTGAAAATCAAGTAGCTCTCTTGGACACCTTTCCTCTGATGGCAGTTTTTCAGGACATGCTGCCCAGTAGTTCCCTATAGAATCTGAAGTTTGCTTTCCTGCATCCTCGGTCCTATCCCTGATGCTTATCTTCCCACCCTTCCTTTGAATCCTAACTGTAATCATCTCATGGTCACTACAGCTCAGACTGTCTTCTTTGATCAGATTTGTCATCAGTACTTTACTGTTGGTGAGCCGCAGTTAAAGTAGAGTGAAGTCCTACCCTTGGCTGATTTGTCTCTCCAGCAGCTGCACTGGGAAATTGCCACCAGCATAGTCTAGAAATCTCCTGGATCATCTACATAGGCTTGATGTCTGGATAGTTGAAGTCTGCCATGAGGATAAGGACCAGTGATCAGGAGACTTCTGCTTGTTGTTGTAGAGAGTTGTCCTCTTCATCTTCCTCATGCTCTTCAATGCATGGTTGGTAGCGACCCCCCACCATAACATCACAAGGGTTGCTTTTCCTTCTAATCCAGACCCAGAGACTGTTAATGGGTGTACCTTCTCTTTCATGCTGGCATTTGTTACCATCCAGGAACTCAATTATATGGAGTGCCACTCTTCTCCTTCCCCAACCCCTTCCTTCTGAAGGCAGCCGTACCCATCAGTGACCATGCCTCAGCCATGAGCCCTGTCCCACTACTTCTCTGGCATTCCAGGAAGGTTCACAGCCTTTTGATTCCCTATGGACTTCGAGTTGCTTGCAGTCCAGCCTCTGCAAGTTAGTGTGCAGGCACTCAAGGGAAGCCTCTGGACATCCTCTCTTCTGAGGAGGAATGTGGAAATTACGGGTGGCCTTCTTGTGTTTGTTTGGCCATTTGAGCCACAGTAGTGATGAGTACCAGAAAAAAGTGGGGAAAGAGAAAGTTAGTAATTCAGCACACAGTTTGACACTTAAGGAAGATACTGCATGCGGTATGACCAAATTACATAGGAATGTATTTTCCCACCTGCTTTGTTTCCTGAGCATTTTCCGTTCTCCATTCAGAAGTGCAGGGATCCTGTGAAAGGAAAAGCAGTTTATGGTCAAGTGGCTGAGTACTATGTTAGTGCATATACAGATGTGCATTGTGTGTGTGTGTGTGTGCACATACATAAATACACATATTATCTATTCAACCTATATAACCCTTAAAAATAACTATTCTTTTTATGTAATAGCCGTTCTAACTTTAATCGTTACTAACAGTCATGCATATCCAAATATTCCAAGATAAGTTTTGTATTGCCCTGTTCTTGCAAAAAACCTTTCAAATTTATCAAAATACCCAACCTACTGGTTTTCAGTTTTGTGATTAAGTATTTTCTGTGTGTCAGAAAGTGTCTCTGTTTAGAATCACAGCAGATCTAACAATTATAAGGCAAATGTTATTCTGAGTGTATTGTAAACAGTTTAGATGATTCTTTAAAAATATGGGTGGACTTGAACCCTAGAAGTAAAAAGCAGAACTCTTTTATTTGTATAGTTTTAAAAATACTAACTTTAAAAGAGTGTTTTTGTTTGTATAAGAATGTTCCCATATGCTTGTTCTGTTTGTTCATAAAGCCTGTTTCATTGTAGCATTTTATTATCGGTGAATTTAATATTTTTCATTCTAAACAACATTGTTGTAAGGTATATCCTGAAAAATATGTTTAAAATACATATATTTTAAACATGTATAGGTATATACATAAAACATATTTTAAAAAATTTAGATATTTTTGTATTTAAAATGTATTTTAAGCACACGTATATAACTAAATATGTATGTGTGTCTATATATTCATTATATACATACATATAGCCCATACATATGTTTCATAATAAGCAAGGCTGAGGCCTTACATCTCTTAAGTAGGACATAGGGTTTTTTAAGTGTTTATTTTGTATCATATGTAGTTTAATGCAACATGAAATTATTCTAGCAGTTACACCTAATCACAGAAATTCTGGAAATTAAAAACTATCCCAATAATGTTCTTTATTTTGTTATATTTTTTGCTAATGCAAATACAGATACTAACATTTAAAATTTGGGGTTTGTTTTCCAAAGAACTTACTGAAGTTAGATCCAGCAGATAGATATTTGACAGAACAGTGTTTGAACCATCCTTCGTTTCAAACCCAAAGACTCTTGGATCGCTGTGGAAGCTCACCTTCGCGGTCAGCTAAGAGAAAACCTTACCACGTAGACAGCAACACATTATCTAACAGGTAAACGTAGTCATGTCACCATCATCACAGACATTTGCTCTGCCAATGAGTGAGTTGCTACCATGCTTACATACTACACTTATCTACAAGAAAAGAAAAGTAGTCATTTGACAGTTCAGGCACATTAAGACATATATGCTGTTCCGTGTTGCCTCACTGAATAAAGGAAGTAGACACAGTTTTATTGTATTATAGCTATTCAAGCTGAAATTTTTGCTAACTTTCTGCATCAGTCTGAATGCTTCTTGAAAAAAAACAAGGACAGCATTCAAGCCATTTCTGCATATGACAAAGGAAAAATAAGTTGGCTTACCCATCTTAAAAAAATGTTAACCTTTTTCTTGAACAACAGTAGGAATTTTGTGGCTTGGAGGGTGCCAGAGATTCCAAAGGAATGCTCTTTTCTTTGGAATGCTACCATTACTGTACGTGTGCAAATTGTCCAAGGTTTTTATGTTTGAAAGTTCAAAATTCACACAGATTTTTAGCTGCTAAATGTCCTCAAAATTCTGTGCATTGATCATGCTCCAAATTTGGGATGAACAGAATTTTGTCTACAGTCGCAATTACAAATCAAGTCTGGTCTACTTGAACTTAAAGCAGGGTGTATTTGCTCAGTGATTCCCTTGTTGGACCTTATAGCTTGAGAGAAGCCACTTGATTTTAATACATCAATGAACCAGGTTTACTGGTGGATAAAATACTTCAGTACAAAAAGCCTCATGGCATTCCTCTGACAAAAGCTTTCCTGAAGGTCACCCTCTGAAGTATGGAGAATGATAGTGGCTTTTAATCCTAGCCATGTCTTTCTTCAGCTTTTCTGGTGAGATTCAAAAAATTACGCCTCAGTTTAAGATTTGGGATTATGACATTGACAATCTATACTTTTTTGGAGGTAGACACCAAAAAGTTTTATCTACCCTTATAGATATTTAGGATAGAGGTTTTACCATTAGAGATGTGTCATCAGAAAGAAAAACCTAGATCCATGGGAAAATTCTTATCTAAAAGGCTTGCCTAACTGCTTGATTTAAAATTACTAGGGTCCTTATATCTCTAAATCTTAAAAAATATACTTCCTTTTAACTAAAAAATATTTTAAACTAGCATTAAATTGCTGAATTTCTAGGAACTGTAATAGAGTGTGTAATTAGATCACTGAAAGCGGGTAATACAAAAATCCTAGGTATAAAAATGGTTAGCATTATCCAATTATAATTATCAACAAGGTCAACCAAGGTGCAAAGTCACCTGTACAGTGAGCTCTCACTTTAACCTGTGGTAATATATTTGAGCTACATTATAGATTTGATACAGAAATAAGTTAACTGCCTATAACCTGCCTAGGTCCATCAAGGCTGACAAGTACAGCTGCAGTACTGCTCAGTCGTGGCTAATTTGCAATGCCAGCATCAGTCCGGAATCAGAACTCACTTTATGCCAGAAAACCTGAGATACTGAATCCTGCTCAAATAAATTCAGGATGAGTGTTTGCAGAACCAACTGTTACCTCAGTCCCATAATCCCAAAACCAGGAGGGCTGGAAAGCAGAGTAGAGGTTAAGGACAGCACCAGGTAGCTCTGCACCAGTGCAGAACATTTTGGGGTGCAGTTTTGGGGATGAGTTTCTGTGCCGAGAGCTGGGATAGTAACAAGGTCCACAAAAGCTGGGGTTCCTGTGATAGACCTGGTTTTGGGTTTGGTGTTACAGGGCTTGCTCTGCTCCACTGAGCTCAGGCTCTCTCCATCGGGATGTCTTTACCAGCACGACAACCTCTTCCCACTTCTCCTCTCCCCTGCCCCTCCAAATCACACATACATTAGAAGGCCTGGAGCATTGATTGTATTGGGGTTTTTTTGGCAGTGCTGACGTACATTATTGTTTTACCTTCACTTTGATATGCCAGGTACATTTAAGATTTTTTTCAATGGATGTACAGCTGATTTTCTTAATGTAGTGTTTACATTGTTGGTGTGCACGTATATTACTCACACACATGCATAAAGGTGTAAATATACATTGGAATTTCTATGATTGGATTTTATATCTTCTTTTTTTTTGTCAGCGAAATCCATTAATCAAAGCTGAGTTTGTCCATCAGGATATAACCGGAAAGAAACAACAATGTACTAACAGTTGCAAATCTGTTATTTTAGTGAAGCTTCTGATGCCTAGTTGGCAGTATTTGATCTTACTGCAGTTAAAAAATTTGTGGGTTTAAATGACAACTGCTTTCTGAAATGAGTGTACTTTTGTTGAAGTTATTAATACATAAATAAGTAATCTGGTATATTAATGCTTCTTTTGTGCATTTTAACATAGAAATCAAGCCAGCAAAAGTTCTGCTTTGCAGTCACACCACAGATCAAACAGCAAGGATATGCAGACACTAGGGGTTGGCGGGCCAAGAGAAGAGGGTCTTCCAGCAAACGAAAGCTTTTTAAATGGAAACCTTCCTGGAGCTGCACATAGTCCAATGCATACGAAAAAATCAAGCAACACACCTGGATCTGGCAACAAGGATCTAGCTAATAATAACATGCCACATCTTCTCAGCCCAAAGGACACAAAGGCAAAAACAGAATTTGATTTTAATGTGGACCCAAAAGGTTCTGATGCTTCAGGCACGAAGTACCTGAAGTCTAACACCAGATCTCAGCAGAACCGTCACTCATTTATGGAAACTTCTCAGAGCAAAACTGGGACACTGCAGCCTGGCGATAAGCACAGTCGCCACAGCTATATTGATACCATCCCGCAGTCTTCGAAGAGTCCTTCGTATCGGACAAAGTCAAAGAGCCATGGGGTTCTGACAGACTCGAAATCCGTGGGCAACCTTTCTGAGGCCAGGGCCCAGGGTGCAGAACCAAACAGCAGTAGGTATTTTCCATCCAGCTGCATGGACTTGAACTCTCCTACCAGTCCAACTGCTCCCCGACACAGTGATAACCGAACTTTGCTCAGTCCATCCGGGAGGAATAACCGCAGCGAGGGTACCCTCGACACCCGAAGACCATCAACAAGACACTCCAAAACAATGGAGGAGTTAAAACTGCCAGATCACATGGATGGAAGCCATTCCCACTCTCTGTCTGCTCCACATGAATCTTTTTCCTATGGTCTAGGTTATACCAGTCCTTTTTCTTCACAGCAGCGCCCTCATAGACACTCTATGTATGTGAGCCGGGACAGAGTGAGGTCAAAGGGCTCAGAGGGTGGCTTAAGCATAGGGCAAGGGATGGCAGCCAGAGCAAACAGCCTGCAACTGTTATCTCCACAGGTGCAGCATAAGTCACTCACAAGATCTGTTGGCTCGTCACGAGAAGACTGTACGGAAGATACTAATAGGGTTAGTTCAAAATACTGCCTGTTGCGGAAGGCTTGCCTTCCTCGTTTTACTTCGTGGGGGGACGGTGCCCTGCTTTCTCACTTCTGTTTGTTTGTTTGCAGTTATTTATTGATTTGTCTTGTTGTAGAGCAAGGGATATTGGGTTTTTTTTCAGAAGGGCTGAATATTTCAAGTGCAAAATGAGAGGCTATTTTAAAAAATGGACTATGAATACCGTTCTCCTAAAGTACTGCAATGTGAGAACAGAAAAATTTGTCTCTGAAGTTAAAATTTCAGTAGTAGTTCCTAGTCTTTGGTTACATTGCCCAATGTCATTTTTATCATATAGTTTTGCTTAATTAACCTTCTCACTTGTGTTTTTATTTAGCTTTTCTTGTATGTATTTCTGTTATGAATGCTAATGTTACTTTTTGAAGCGAGCTTTTCACTCGCTTATAGCAGGACATTATTGCTGAAGTGCCATAATTTACTAGAGGAATATCAAAACTTGCAGTATTTCTCTTGATTAGTGTGATAAATAACAGGGGTAGGTGTAGAGATTTCATGTTGGAGAAGCCACTGGTAAATTGACTCCTTACAGTGATTACTGTTACTGAACACCTTGTGTTTTACTGTGAGCATTATTTAGTGAGTAGAGGAAGGGCTAGCTCTGGTGTTGATTTACATTCCGTACACGACACTTTTGAATTATCTGATGTTTTACACATCGGATGTGTAGAGATGACTGCATTTGTCCCCAGATCTTTAAACTGCTATACCATTGATCCAAATTGCTGCAGAATGGCGCGGAGAGAAATACAAAAATGAGTGTTTGTTTCTCTACATGTACATTTGTAATGAAGTGACTTCTAAGGAGAGAACTTCTAGTTCAGATTCGTTGACAAATCAAAGGAAGTCAAAAAGCTGCAAATATTATTTGAGGTCTAAAAATTATGCTTTACTGTGAGAGACTGAAAAACTCTGCCTACTTAGTTTATGTAAGAAATATGTGTAGCTGACTTGATAGTGGTCTACAAGTACCATAAAAAAGTTTTCAGGTAGTGACTGCCTCTTCAGGCCAGTAGGGAAAAAAAGGCATAATATGTTTTTTCATACTTACCACATCCTCCATTCAGGATTATGTGTATTCACACATGAGAAAAGATCTCATCAAAATAGGAGAAATACAATGTAATACACAGGGGAAAAAAAAAAAAAAGCTACTTAAAGGATTACAGCAGCTTCATTTCAAAACCAGGGTTTTTTTTTTTTCTTTCTGTAGTCATTTTCCTCACTCTTTCATTTCAAAGTTAAATGTTACTTATCTTTCAGGATGTTACTGTAGAAAGGCAATAACACCAACATTTGAGTTTTTGATAATAAAAGCTCATACCACCTTGTATTCTTCAGCGCATTAGGATTTTTTTCTGCATTATGTAGCAGATATTGATTTGATAAGTAGTTTTAATTTTATTTCATATTATGTAGAGGAAGATTGTTTTTATTAGATCATTCTATGTCTTTTGGCAATTTGTTGACAAATTTTTATTTTAGTTAGAAAAATTATGTGTACCTTAATGCTTATGGTTTTGTTTGTTTCTGTTTGCTTTAGAATGCCTAATCATTTTTAAAGACCTTGCCTTTATCTCTTATGGTCAGTGTTTTTAAAGTTAAACCTTCAGTTAATGCCGTTAAATCTGTATTTCAACCATCAGAGGTCTGAAAGGAAAAATACACTTCTGACATGGGTGGCAAGTCTGTACATTCACAAAGCTGATTTTGTTTGTTTATACTCCTTTCAATCACAAAGCAGAATTAAATTTTCAATCTTCTTATGCTTTGTAAAGGCATTTTCACAAAGAAGTCATTTTTTGGCTCCTCCCTATCCTTTTTTTTTTCCTTCTACATTCTGCATTAGAAATCAGAAAATATCACTTCCCTCAGGATTACTGAACTAAAAAGATCAGGAGTAATATAAGTGTTCTCAAAGATTCTTTATTGTTTTCTTATTTTTTTTCCAGTCAGTTCTACTGGTTCTTTGCTTATATTTTGTGAAGTTTCCTTACCTCTATTTTTCTAGTTTCTCACTGATTTTCTCTTTAGCTCTACCAAGTCTTTTTAAAGAAAAGCATTCTTTGTTTGCCAGGCTTTAAATCTTACTTTAAGAAAAAAAGACTTGCATTCAGTGTTAGTTTGGGGGGCTTTTCAAAAAGGGGGCAAGCAGAAGAAAATCAAGTACAAGTTGCTATTACTGTCTCATATTTGTAACTTAACTGCTGACAAAGAAGAGGTATCTTACACGAGTAGTAATTTAATCAAATGCTCAGCCTTGCGTAAAGTTTGGAAGAATCAAACTGTGATTTAAAGCGTCATTTTAGCTACACTTCTTGTCTCGGCAGAGTTTCAAGGGTTGTTTTATCTGTGACAGTGAGGCTAGACCTTCATTCATAAAAGGCAAAATAGATTTTGCAAATCAGTCATATAGTGAATTGAAATTGCAGTTTTTAATTGTCGGTTGGTTTTTTGCGGTTTTGGGGGGTTTTTTTAAATATTTGTCCTTCTTGGACATTCTAGATTTAAATTCATATAGGTGTTTCAGTACAGTTTCCTGTGGGGTCTTGTAAGGGACCATTGAATTTTATCTGGTCAGTCCATGGTGCAGGAAAAATTGTAGCATCTGGTGCATTTAAGAGTGGGGTTAAGTCATATTTGGTGACAAATCACATGCATGTGGATGTTTCCTAGGGCTTACTTAAGCTTTTGCTTGAAGTACTTCCAGGAAGTACTGTGTTCAGGAAAACAGAGTAAATTAGAGGTAATTATATTCTTTTTACTATCCTGTCTGACTTAACTGTTATTTAGCTTACAGCTTGCTTAGTTCAGGGACTACCTCTTATTTTCCTTACGGTAGATTTGTGACTGTTGCTACCTCTAGGTCCTACTGTATAACAGCTGATAAGAGATAGTGCTTTGATGTTGCAATTATCACAAATTACATGCATTTCCTGTTTGCTTTTTAAAATTTGCCGGTAGCAGAGTGACCAGATTCCATCAGAAATTAATTTAACAAGGCTTCCAGTAAAAGATTCCCCCAGAGATGTTACAACTGCATTTCATTCACAGCAAAAATCTGAGCGTCTGAATCATTCTCAAGTCTTTAAAACTACAACTAAGAGGCAAAATTTTGTTAATGCCATTTTTGTCGTTTTGGAAAAAGCAAGCAAGTAGCAAAACCAAACAATTATTGATTACATAGTCTCTGATTTGGTATTGGCAGTTTTTAACAACACGAAAATCGTGCGTGGTTAAGTTCGGGATTTCATGCTTATGTATGTCAGTTAAAAACTCCAAATCAGTTTATAATCTTTCATTTTAAATAGTTGATTGTTCTTGTGTTTAGGGTGGAGCATATCATGATCCACACACAGAAGATGGAGCATCTACTAAGGAAAATAGAATTCTGTATAATGATCCTGTTCCGAGAAGAGTTGGCAGCTTTTACAGAGGTAATTTTATGGTAGATCTTTGAAAATTAAACAAGAATTTTAATGCAGAATATGAATTAAGTAGTAGAAATGGATACAGAGTCCTAACATGAACAATTATAAAATTTTATTGGAAAAAGAATTGTTATCCCACTTTCAGAGAGTGGGTTGACCTGCTAGGTTGTATGCAGTAACTGTATTAGTATCATATTATTTATTTGCAAGTGATAACTCACTTTGATTGAAAAGTGCGTCCAATGCAGTTGCTTGTAAAGCGGAAGATAATTTATCAGGGGGAGCTGAACAAAATAAATTAATATTACCAGTGTAAGCATTAAATTAATGTTTTCAGTTCATTTTTAGATTAGTATTAACACTATATCTAAACACTTTGGTACTTGTAAGACATTGTCATACTTATGGATCTATTTCAGATACTGTGGTGCATGGAACTGTAATGCTAGTTTTTCATTGCTCAAAACCTATGTTCATTTCTTTTGTTCAGGCTTACTAAAGATCAGGGTTTCCTACAAGAAAAAGCACACTTAGATAATCCCAGTTCAGAATAAATAATAAAACAGGACTGTGTATGTGCATATTTATGTATGTATACCTATATGTGCGCATGTGCGTGTATATATATATACACGCAAATAGATACCGTTCTATTATGGTACACAAAAAATGGTGACTTCTGAGCAGCTGCCTTATGGCTAAACCTGGGTAATCCTTTAGAAAAAGACAAGGGTAATAAGAAGCTAATTACTCTCCTGTAAGTGTTAGGAGGCTTGTGGGGCTCCCCTGAACCTTAAGAAGTCCCAATCAGCTAAAAATTGATTGAGTCACCTAATAACCTTAGGTAGAGTCACAAATCTCCCTCTGATCCTCTTCAGGTTGGTCAGTTGGCTGACGACCTGATTTAGACAGGTTAAAATCTGCCAATCCTTGCAAGTGTCCTGTTGCAATATTAAAACCTGTGAGCAATATTAAAGCTTGTGCTGTTTTGAGCAATGTTTTTGAGTGTAATATACAAAAGAGAATCTTTAAGAATCCTCAATCCTGAATTGCTTTTATTAATCCTTAAAACACTCCTAGAATTGGACATGGATTTTCCTTTTATATAGATAGAGAAACAGAAGTTTCAGGCAAGTTACATAAGACATATGCTAAGGAAACTGTAGGTCTGGGGTTTATTCAATTCCTTATTATAACCGAGAGGGATCTTCCTCTTTCACTATATCTTTGAAACAAATATATTTTAGTTCGCAGACTTAATTATCGCTTTGGACAAATGAGACTATATTTAAATAATACATTGATAATAGTACGTGCAAAAACTATTGAAAAAGTTACTATGAAAAAAGTGAATTCATATTTATGCAGTTCTTAAGTACTGACTTAATAGAAAGGTTATTTAGCATGTACTTTTGTACTACAGCTTGAACAAAAACTTAGGTTCAATTTCGATAGATACTATAGTGTGATGCTGCAGTAATGCTGCAACTACTGTCTGATCAATTTTTAATCCAGTGCAGGTATTTCTAGTGATATTCATAGTTCTAATAAATTTATGTTCTAGGTATGTATAACCTATTTTCAAAACCGCAGTATGTCTGTCTGAAAAATATATAATATCTGATTTTGATCCTTTCATTTTTATTGAGTAATCTCTTACTCTTAGTTATATTAAAATCAAAAGTAATTTTTTTCAGGATAGGTACTACTTTTTTAAAGTCTAAGTGAAGACAAAGTGTAAACTGTAGTATTTTGAGTCTTTAATAACAATATTCCAACCTTTTATTCTGTTTTCTTTTTTTAAATGTCAGTTGCGCTTGTGGCTCCCTACAGATAGAAATATTCTCAAATCTAACAACAGTTTAGCCAAGTTCTGATGACAGTCTTATTTTATAACTAGTATCTCACAAAACAACAGCTTTTCAAACTGTAAAAAAAAAAAAGTGTACTACTTTCAGTCATACGTAAAGTACAACTGTGCCTTCACTCTTTTCTTTCTGTAAAAGAGGCAGAGAGGAAGTAGACAAATGAGAGATGGGATTTTTGGCAGAGCTCAGTATACATTGTTTGCTATTTCTCTGTTCAGTTCCATCTCCGCGTCCAGAAAGTACGTACATAGAAAACAATGTGTCAAACAGAGCCTCTGTGTTACCAGCAGACAGCAGCACGGTGGCAAACCACTCAAAGAGACAAACCACCTTTGATACCTGGTGAGTTGTTATTTACGCAGATGTGTAGAGAATGGCAGGGAAAAAAAAGAGATTTTTAACAGGAGGGAAAAAAGCCCATGTTTTTTCTCAAAATTTACAATTGTCTTCGTGTGCTCAGTTGCTTCCTCTGACTATACTGGCATAGCATTGCATGTTTTCTGTCCTCTTTTTAGCAACAAGAAATATTTCATTACACCATCACACTGAATGCATTGAAAATTATATACTTTTCTCCAGTCTTTCCTGATTTTTTTTTTTTTCCCCCCCGCTATTAACCTTTGGTTAAAGATAATACAAAGTGCTTGTGTGCATATAGTATGGATAGCAAGGCTGTAGCTTCATCTGTGGATTCCAGAAGCATGAATTGTCAGACAAATGGAAAAAATATCAAAGTGCATGTTTCCATATAGAAAATAGGACTGTATTAATGAAGAATAGAATATTCACCCTACAGTGGGGACTGCTGCTCTTTTTGCTTACGCACCACAGAAGGAAATGAGTACGTTCTATGGGAAAATGGACTAAGCAACATCTTAATGGTGTATATTGATTTTAAAAGATTAAAAGCATCACATGGCTCCATTATATAACGTAGAACAATTAACTATAATTATGCCAATAGAACGACAGCATATGCATAGCTTTGCAGGACTTAAAGGGAAATATCTTATTTTGTTGCTCTGAGAGATGTTCAGCTCTAAAATACTCTTAATCTTCTACTTTGTTCAATCACAATAAAGCACACTGAATAAAAATAAGCAAATGGAGCTTCAGAGGATTGGTGGGAGGAATGGACTGTATGCATTCGCATGGTTCAACTGTGCTTTGTACCACTATCTGAAGCACTGCTCTCTGAAAGCGCGATAAAATCATGCTGTCTTAAAGAACTGTTTCAGTAGTTTGTTGACTTAATGTGTTTTCACATGAACAACCTGTGAATTATCTGCTTAAAAAAGAAAGGGGATGGGGTGGGGAAGGGAACGAATTGGTATTTCAGCTTGTGATCAGGTTATATACCCGTGTCAGTAACAGAAGATATTTACTCCAGAACCCGTGTCACCTGCTCTGATTCACTAGAGTCTGCTTCCTGTCCTTCAGTAGCTCCACCTTCATCCATTTTGTGGAAGTTAGCTGAGGAATCCGGTCATTTATGTAAAAAGGTGGTGCTTAATGTTGTGACTTATGTGGCTAAAGAAGGTATTTATTCCTACTGTTGAACCCTTTTACATACTTTGTTGTCCTTCATATCTGAATCTTTCTATCTTGCATATAACGTAAGCCAACTGGAATCTTGTTTTGCTTTATATATCATTCAGCAATATATTACCTTTTATTATGTGGTCACTGCAAAGAAACATGTAATGTTATTTTAACTCTGAACTGAAATAATCGCATATGTTATTAGAGCTGGTTGGGAATTTTTTTACTAAGTTGTTTTTTTTGCTTACAATGCTAAATGATCGAAACCAACACTTTTCAAAGGAACAGACTGATATCCACTAACCTTTTATTGGGAAGATTCTTCAGCTCCAGGATGGAATTGCCAGTCAAAACCAGAGATACACTCAAAATAACAAATATTCTGGGGTCAGCATTATTTTTTGGAATGTGAGGAACTTCGAGTGCAGGGCTTTTGTTCTTCATTATTTAAACCAGAGGCTTGAACCAAGATCTTAGATCTGACAAGTGAACGCCCTGAACCAGAAGTCAGAGGTTATTCTGGAACACATTCTCTGTTTCCCTCAATATATTCTCTTGAAGCTGTTTCATCTTTCTGAAAAAATGAAAGGACCGCAGAGATGCTGCATATGGCCTAGTGAATAAGGCCCTTCATTAACTTTGAGACAGTTAGATTTAAGTCCTTGCTGCGATTAATGTACTCAAATATTTTCACAAAGTGGAACAGCTCCTTTGAGAAAAGAACCCACAGAAGAAGAAGCATTTCTTCTTATGAAATGAGAGGAATGGCACCAAGTTACTGCTATTTTGGCATGTGTTTCTCTTTCTCTTTGCTTTTCCTACTCCCTGTTTTCCTGAAATGTTTCCTGCCCGGCTCTACATGTTAACTCTGTGCAAGTTGTCCTGGCAATGGTTTAATGTTGCAAAATTGTTCTGTGCCATAAATGCAGCTTAATCAGATTCCTGAGTGATGTAGAGTCTATGTTCCTCTACTTAAATTTTCTGTATAGAAGTTGTGTAAACGCTTATGAAAATGTTGAAAGCTCTAATGGAATGTGATTCTGCTTACATCAATTTTATGATGAAGTAAATATTTGATGTTTGACTGACGTACATAACTGGTACATGACAATTCATCTCTAATTATGAGTGACATGTATTCCACCTGGACTGGCCACTACTGTAAAATATTGCTTCTCTCATACTATTGCTCTGTGTTGCCTTTCTTCTGTCAAAGATTTTGTGACTGTTTGCTAGACTGAATTGTCACAGATGTTCCCTTGTCTTTGTGTGCATTTCTTCACTCTTGTCCCCACTGTCCTGCCTCTTTAAAATAAAGATGTTATAAACTCGACTTTTGTCATCAGGTTTTACTCTTAAATTACTAGATAGTTTCTGAACTTTAGACAACTTGAGTTGAAAAAAGGCAAATTTTTCACCTTTCTAGGAAATATTTTCTTTGCTAGAGTTCGATTTCCTGTAAATGACCTTGAACTTGCTCAATTTTTCCTTTTTGATACAAGAGTAGATGTTCTATTCTCTTCCACTTATACGAGCTTCGTCTTGAGCTGGGCAAAATCAGTAGGTGTAGGCAAGATGCTTAACCTTGTTCTGCCAGTGTGCCAAAATGTTGGCCTGAGTTACCTTTACCATTGTTATAGGTCTAAATATCTCTTTGGAATAACCTCCAATGTGCAGTACTTTATCTCACATCGTATTGGAAGTGTTTGTATTGGTTGCTTACAAGATATTTGGGGGCTTCTGGAAAGCTTTGTTGTTTAGACTTTTCACATCCATATAAATATGTTCATTCTGTGACAAACAGCTTGTCATATCTTCTCTAGCATATGTCATACCTTCCTGCAAAATTAATAAAAAGGGGTAATACCTATAATATTTTTGTATTATTTTTATATGTATATAATTATATATAAACACACACAAACTTTGTCATTCAAGAAAACAAACAAAAAAAAGAACATCCTACTCTTAGGGGTGTCAAAGGCTTACAATTATGTGTCTACCATTAATTTTCAAGGCTCCAAAACAATACAGTGTTTTGTAAACATGACTTGACTGGCTATAATATCACTCTTTCAGTATCAGTGTAACGGTGTAGTAACACTTAATGGTCTCGAAACTAGAAGGTTACCGGTATCTGAGCAAGCTAGTTTAAAGCTTGTTCGGCTGTGTCTTCAGTACAACTGTTGCTGCATTCTAGAGACTTTGCAGTTCATTTACAGAATTCTTGAATTTGTAAAAAATATCAGGAGGTTTCAAATTTGTAATTGCAAGCATAAAAATCACCTGAGTTAAGGTGATTGGGACTTTAGGAACCGTGCTCTGCATAGCTTGAAGTTGTTCAGCTTAATGGTACAGCTTTTCCTCTGACATTTCCTGCACAAGACTCCTGCGTATGCATTGTCATCTGGTATGTTTGCTTTATTCATCTATTTGGCAACATCTGAGCCTCCCTACCACTTTCTTCTGGTAACCGGTGCCTCTTCCGTGACCCTTCTCCTGTCATCGGTGGTTTTGTTTTGTACTGAAAATTATATGATGCAGTCTAATGTTATTTGCAAGGAAGCTTTCCAGAATCTGTAGTCATCAATATTTTGTCCAAAAAAATAAGCCTAGTGAAGCATATGCTTTTGTAATTTTACAAAACCAACCACTTCCAAATTTCTATGGTTACTAATGTTGAACAATACCAGGGGTGGAGGTGTAAGACATATGTATGTGTATATATACATTTATATGTATACTTTTTTTAGTGATGCCATAACCTCAGGTGATCTAGTGGCTTTAGTGGCTTCTGGGTGGTATACTGTATATAAGATAGTAAATCTGGGGTTTACTCCAGTTAATCCTCCTTTTCCACATGGAAAAAAATAAAAATAAAAAAATTTGAGCTCCAAGCACAGTTCAGATTTGATATCTGATTTTTAAACTTTCAATGCCAGGCTTTTAGACCAAGAAGTTTTGCTATGGGCTTCAGCTTGTGGGATTGAGATTCTTACCTTAAGTAAACCATCTGTCTGAGGTGCTTCATTAGTTTCTGACATTTTCTTGCCTTTGTTTATGGTAACTCTGTAACTGCCAAGGGTTTTACTTTAAGCGAAACCAAAAGCTAACTTGGATCCAGAATTAGTGTTTGCTCATTTATCTTCCAAAGAAAACTTCAGACACTTCAGTAACTCCTCCACTAGACCAAAATCTTACTTGTGTGATTGTAAGTGGTTCAGTAAAGGGAGTAGTATACTGGCAGTTAAAGAGGATTTCTAAGCCAGGCTGCCTGCTGAGAGGGTTTCTGAAGAATAACTGAAACAAGCATGAGGAATTGCCTCCCAAAAAGAGCTGTCTGCAGTACAAATCTGTCTTTGGCAGCACGAATGCAGCATGCTTCCTATTTATTCTTTTTAGTTAGTGTTAAAGCACATCAGCTTGCTTGCCCCATGCGTGTTTGCTGCTATGCCTCGTTGTACCTGCATGAAGTTGGATACCTTTCCTGCCAGGGGAAGTAAATGCTAGTGATAGTCACAGAATTTCTGTTCATACCTATGCGTTTTCCAAGTGTCTCAGACTGGAATAACTAACGTGATCTACATTATATGTCTTAAGCATGCAAAAGGCACACAAAGATAAAATAACAAAGAACAGCACATTTTGCCTTGCCTTTGGTTTCTGCTTGAGGCTGAGCTCTCTGAGTGGGGGCTCTTCTCTAGGGCTAGTCTTACTTGCTAGTAAGAGAGACATTGTGCAACAGATTCTGGTGTAACTGTTTGCTTTCAGGAGCTGAAGCTTTATGCAAAATACCAAGGTACTTGCACTTATATTGTGAGACTTTAGTGTTGAGTGACTATACCATACAGGTTTTTTCTGATAATCCTAATTTTTTCCTGTACTGTCCATTGTCTGAAAATCATCTTTTGGGCTGCCTAAAATATCCCAGTGTTTCATCTTGTCAATCAAAATGTTCTGCTCTATTTTTACTCAGTACAAAATCCTGGTGTTGAAGCTTCCTGCTATAATGCTATATTTGTTCGCTCTCTTCACATAATGAGGATGTGTTTTGAAGCAATTGCTTTTCAAGGTCAATGCTTTTTCAGACAACTGTACTGCAATATGAGTCATAGGAGTTAATGACATAAACCAGTCGGTGTAAAACCACTGGCTTTTGGGTAAGCAGCAATTGAAAATGAGCAGAGTTCTCAACCTCTTATTTTCCTCCTCTTGTCTGGTCACTGTAGTCATAAAGAGGAAATGCTGGTGCAGAATTTCACTTTTTTCTGTTCATTTGCTGTAGGGAGCAGTTTTCTCATCCAGGTTCACTGGGCCAAAGAAAAGAATCACACCTGAGTGAATCTCTGTCTAAAAGTATGGCAAAAATTGTCCCAAGCTTTATTCTGATGATTAAGTTCACCTTTAAAAATACAGTGTCCCTATTATGGAATAGACTTTGGAGCAGAAAAGTCATAGCAAGACACTGAAAAATTTTAAAGCACAAGGTAGAGTAACCACATGAGGACTTCCTTATGATCTGACACTGGTTCTGCGATGGACAACATAGTTGCTGGGTTGGTGATTTGCACTGGGGTGTGGTTTGGGGTATGTTTCCAGATGTGGATCCACAGTAGCTCCTTTGGGGAAAGGCTCAGAAGATTCTCAGACCCATTCACATGGCTTTCAGAGTACAAGCAGGATACTCGGGTGCATGCTTTCCTCCAACTTCTCTAGCAAATTATGTAAAAATCATTTAGTAAATAATTCAGTAGGTGTTTTGTCTGTGTTAAGTCAGTCTTGTGAGTTCATCAAATCTGTAAAGCTGTCAGTAGCCTTTACTCTTGGACTTTCTCCTCAGTGCTTTAAGTGAATAATACAAGACTGCTTTACTGCTGTTACACAGTGGTATCAAATACAGGGACGTGACAGAAACAGGAATCCTTGGCAATCCAGTATGTTTAAAATATGTGTTATAAATCTAACCATTGTGTTTAAGCTAGAGATTTTTCTGTAGCGTTGTGATTGTCACATTAAATCTATGTTGTTGTGCACCTGAATGAGTTTCCTGAATCTAAATCAGAGTTCCAAAAATCTAATTAGGAAAATTTCCACCATCCTGTCTGCTTACAAGTCTTCCCTCTAAGCGGTCCTTTTACTCAACAATTGCACTTTATTACAGTGTTTAAACACTGCATGCATTTATATTTAGAACCAGGTAGCATTTTGAGCTTGAAGTGGTTTTGTGTAGAAATTGAGGAACTGATGAAGCCGCCTATCAGAGTGAATATTCTCTTACTAATAAGGAGGATGACTCAAGTGATTCCTACCCCAATTATGTGTTTCACATTTGCTTGGAAAAGAATGTCAGCTTGGCATGTAGTAGCAGCTGAATCACCAGCTGATAGCATACCATTTAAAGCCAGAATTAGAAGCCAAAGATAACTATAGCAGACAGCTAAGTGTGGCTACATTACAGTTGCTCCAAGAAAAGCTGCTCCTATTTGCCATCCATAGCCCTGAGAACTGTGGCTTTCCTTTAGGTTTTCTATCAAGACCATGGAATAATTCCATATTTGTTTTTATAGAACATGAGTGATAAAGGACTATTAAATCACCCAGTGTGATTTTCTATACGTTAGTTGCCAGTAAATACCATCTATTCGCTGGGGTCCATGCCCAGGAGCATTCCTGACAAACGCGTGTCTCCCAGGAGAGCATGCGAGCCTGATTTGAAATGTCGAAGATGGGAAATCCACTTCTGCACTAAGGAGCTTGTTCTGACGGTTAATCATTCTCATTGTTAAAGTCAGTGCCTGATTTCTAATATGACTTCTCTGGCTTCATCATCCGTCTACTTGTTATGTTTTTGCCCTTCACTTTAAAGGTCCTTCTAGTAGTCTGTAATTTCTTCCCGGAGAAGTACTTGTGCGCCACAGTCGAGGAAACTAAATATTTGGGGCTGGTTTGGCTGTGTTTTTTAACATACTAAAGAGATTGAAATCTCCAACTCTTTTAATATAGACTGTTTGTTTCTGTCTCTGAAATTATTTCTGTGACGCTTCCCTGCACCATTTCCAATTTTCAAACTATTTTAATGGGCACTAGGACTGCGTTCAGTGATGTCTCACCAATGGCTTACATAAACCATCTTTTTACCCCCTATCAGTACTTTACATATGGAGTTTACTGTGTTTGCTTAAAGTAACATGTTATTTATCAGTAGTTAATTCAGCTGTGTAGAGAAGTTAAAAGGTGGAAATTCGGTCTTCAGGCAAGTCACCTGTTCCACTTTTGGGTCATCTTCTTTTGCCAGCACTGTCTTACCCACGCATAACAAACTAACTGAAGTTTTTAAGTTGAAATGGACAACAGTAGATCCCCAGCTTCCCTGATGATAAATTTGGAACCATGTCAGCAAAGGTCAGGAAGTTTGGTTGAAATTGGTTTTCTCTCTGGTGAACTTTGCAACTCCTGGCTCTCCAGCAAGCAATGGATAAACTGGACCTGTGCTTTTATACCTCGTCATCATTTGTATGTTCTCCCAGATATGATTTTCATTTTTCTAAAAGATCTTGTGTGTGATATTTTGGTTTGAAAATTAAATTCTGGCTTTAAAAAAAAAAAAAAAAAGACATGCATGCTTTCCTTTTTCCCTAAATAACTATTCACTGGTTTAAGCTAATCGTTTACCCTAACACTGTGCTTCTCCTGTCCCATTTAATAAGAGTATTTATCCGGTATTTGTATAGTAACCCTTGAACCAATGAATGCTAAAACGTTAAGAATCTTTTTGCTTTAATCAATAATTTGCATTCTTTGGCATCGGATTTCGTTATTGCACAGAATTTGCATAATATAAAAATAAAATCTCGCTTACAATACGTTATTTCATGTTTAGGAAAAGTCCTGAAAACCTTAACAGTCACTCAGAACAGCTCAAGGAGAAAGAAAAGCAAGGTTTTTTCAGGGCAATAAAAAAGAAAAAGAAGAAAGCTCAAACCGTAAGTATACAGTATTTCTAACATAAAATATATTTATCAGTTTTGAATTACATCACTTTAATATGCTAGATTAGTACAGTACCTTTGTATTATTTATGATCATATACACATGTATCTATTTGTTGTTTTATTTTCTCTCCTCACTATATGAAAGTCAAATTCTTTTCCTGTTCAGGATTTATTTATCGGCCTTTTCAAATATCTCTTCACCTACTAGTGCTGTGCATCTTTCTTTTCATTCAGACCCTTTGAGAGCCAATTTTGATGCAAGTTTTAAGCTGATATTGTGCCAAATTCTTTTGCAGAATATGGTGATACCATTCCAAGAATAGAAAATGTGTTATTTTGTGTCCTCAGAGCTTGAATAATTTCAGACACCCATTTGGAGGAGATCAAACTGGAATAAGGATGACATGTCTTAATAATTCTGAATATTTTATGGTTTATTGCGGGAATGGATTGTAGCTTTTGTTATTTGGTATAAGCCTTTGGTGTCTTACGTGTTTTTACATTTTCATCTAGTTTTGGGGAGGAAAGAAGAACAACTTTCTGTTATGAGAAAGCAATGTCATATTCACATTTCACAGAGGTTTATAATTAAAACCTCCTTAAGAACTGAGGTAACCTTAACATCATCTCATCTCATCTCATTCTTGAATTAACAGTTCTGGAAACAGTAAAGTACCTAAAATTTCATTTACATAAAGTTGCAGTGTTTCTGGAAGCATAACTGCAGTTACAGTTTTGAAGTTTCTCCGAATAGAGTAAATCGTGCTTGCTCCTGGTGAAGGGGAGTGACTAAATCAAAATATCTACTGTCACAGAGTGAGATAGCATGACTCTGGGTGTTGGTGAAGGGCTGATCTGTTGTAAATTGCAGGAGAGCAGTGATTATCAAGCTTTTTTTTTTTTTTTTTTTAGTTTCTTTGAACTGTGTAGAACGTGTGCATCTGTACGTTAACTAGCACTCAAAAATGCACCCCACCTTCCTGCTGGGCAGGTATTAGAGCAGTGGCATCTACGTCTCCTTCTGAACTTGTTCATCCTGATACCTATATGCAGTTCAAATATGATCATTTGCATTACACAACTGAACAAGATCTGCAGATTATAATTCTGGGATTAGTTTATATCAAAATGTCCATGAAAGGATAGCACACCTAAGACCATTGGTTCCAGCAATACATTTTCAAAAAAAAAAAAAAAAAAAAAAAAAAAAAAACTAGTCCACCCTGATTCCAGACATTCAGACATGGTGGTAAGAAACACTTTAGAAGCCCAGCTCAAAGATGGTGTATCAACTACTTCCAGATTAAACTGTGTGAAGGAAATACAGACTGGATTGTATTGCATCTCAAAATCCAGCACTTTGCAAAACATCTAAATCACAAGTACCTTGATCCATAGCTACCAAAACCTTCACTGATTACAAGTCAGGACAGTTTTATACATAATCCTTACTCCTGTTTCTTCTCACTCTTAAGAAGAGAGGTATTGGGGGCAGGGGGCAGGGGAGAGAGATATTTTGCATAAGGGAAAATAATGTGGCTAGGTAGAGCTAGTATCTAGATGAATAAATTAGTGAAAGAAAATAGGGATAAAAGTCTTGCATCCTCAGCTAGAAACTTGCTGACATCAACTTGATTTTTGGACCCAACCAGCAACTGAAAAACGTCTTTTTATTTCTACTTACAGCTGTTGAACAGACAGTATCTAGGGATAGGGTGTACCAACCTATATGTGTACAAGTGTCTGGTTCAGACAGTTCTTTGATCTTTGTCTGTTATTGAGGACGTCTACCTAACAAACATCAGGATGTTCATTAGGATCTTCCAGTGCAACAAAAATTATTACCTTCAGTTCAGCACCAAGTTTGACTGTTAACAGCGCTGTAATATTAGTTCTTCAACTGCATGAATAATGTTTTCTATGAATTCGTATTAAAAATCTAACAGATAGCTTGTGACTGCCCAAGCTTTTTTTCTGAGGCTTATAATTCTTATAGAGTCCTAGAAGTATGAAATTCTGCTTATTTACTCTGATGCAGATTTTCTGCAGCAAGTAACAAACTAGACCTGAGAACTGTCACAACACACAGAAGCACATCGTAGCTAGCTACTGTTTACTTCCGATATCTTCTGGCAAGTCTCATTTTGCTGGTGATAGTAATAAAAATCCTAAAATATATCTGAAATTGGATGGAAAACATCTTCTTAATAATGTCATTCTCAAAATCTCTAATAGCCCAGAACTGATCCCAGTTCCTGACACTTCCTCCTGCAGAGTCGTTACCGTTAATCATTCTCCCTAGAGTTCTCCTGGTGCAGTTCCTCATGGGGTGATAATTGTTACTGCCTGCTATGGGAATTCTTTCCAATATTGTTTTTGCGGAGCTGTTCTTATACATTCTCCTTTTCATCATGTTTGGAGTCTTTTAGTAACATAGCAAAAGGTTTTGAGGATTGCTAGAGTCAGAGTTTTTTCCTGTCTTCTGCCACCAAACAATTTGATATCCGTGAGGCTTGTGCACAGTGTCAATAGGCTCTACCTTCAGAGGAGCCTGCGTTTTGCAGATTTTGGCACATACTGCAAGCTTATGAGTCTGAAGAAATTACCTGCTTTGGAAAAAACAGTTGCAGGTGAGCATTTCTCCTAGTCATGCTTTAATTCCTTTTTAATTTACTGAACTTGAAACGTGAAATTCTTCTGACCATAAAGTTCCTAGACAAGCTATGCTAATTAGTGACTCTTTCTTTCATGAGCTTGGATGGCATCTAGAAGCTGAGAAAGCTGTTTGAAAACCCTCGCTCTTGATCGTGCCCCCGTTGTTCTCTTTAGTCGTATAATCATTATATTGTATTATAAATTTTTATTTCGATAGGCAGAATAATGCTAGACACAACATATGTGTCTTGTGCTTGTTTGTACCTGAGCAAGGGAGAAAGAGTCCCCTTCAAAATTTTGATACTTGATAGTTCTGTTTGTTGTTTGTGCGTCCACTGGTATGCTCTTCAGTTGTGTCACAGAAATTAAACAGCCAGTGCCCCTTGCAGTTACACATGAAGTTGTTGATGGTATATTTTTGTCAGAACTGAAATAATTCATCCTGGAGCCCTCTCTCTTTTTACAAATTAAAAATAGAATACTTTTGTTTCTTCTAGAGGTAGCTGTCAACTGCTCATTCTGAAACAGATTGCTATTATTGTTAGTGTATCTTTGATATTTTGTTTATATAAAAAAAAGAAATGTCATACTGCTTTAGGTCATTATCACAAGTAGCAAATGACTGCCAGCACTGTAGAATTTGATCCGAAGCTCAGTAGAGTCCGACCAGTTGTCTCCAAAAGGCTTTGAAATGTACTCTGCATTCCTAATGAACATGGATATAAGAATAGGTGTACTGATCTCTTTTTACACGCTTTATGTGCATTGAGTTCCTTCAATTTGTACCATATGCTTTTTTCATTCAATCACTATTGTATTTTCCCAACACAAATTATAGGATTGATACCATATATTGTTGGAATTTTTTAAAAAATCATATAGTAAGGACAGATTTCTTGAATTGAAACACTATGCATTTAGTTGTTATATCTTATATTGCAGACAGACTCAACCAACGGGGAGAATCCAAGCATCAAGAAATCCCTCTTTCCTCTTTTTAATTCAAAGAATAATTTAAAGCATAGTTCTTCTTTGAAAAAGCTTCCTGTAGTCACTCTACCCATGGTATTAATTTTTAAGTACAGTAGCACTGTAAAATGCTCCAGTAAACTTGTTTTACTGACTACAGCAGCATGTGTTTTATTTTCATGGGATCACTTTCTCTTCATGCCAGTTAAGTATCTTGGGCCAGTTCGATAAATTTAAGTTAAAAAAGCAGTTCTGTTGCAATAGATTGTGCCTAAAAATGTGGGGGTTTCAGTATTTGATATACTGAAAATGTAACATACACAGTTCCAGAGAGAATGAGCCCTGGGACTAAGACTAAAGGAGGAAAATAGTTGTGAAATCATACATGTTTAAAATTAAACTGTTTCATTCTGTTTCAATCAGGGAAAAAAATGAACCTGGTTTGTTTTATAACTATATTGAAAATATTTTTTATGCAAATGGCTCCTTTATATATACATTTAATCACATGTTAACAACAGATTATTTGAAAACTAAATTTTAGCTCATGCCTCTTCTGTATTTTTGTTTGTCCTAATTGTTCATGCTAAAAGACAGACTGCATTATAAATAGGTTACATTTTAACTGTCCTTTTTTTGCTTAGAATTCTTGAAATGCTATAAAACTCTACATATAAGTTTTAAATTATCCTTCTGCCATAAAATTTGTTGGATTTTGAGCTTGTTCGAGGGGGATTGTCTTAATTTTTGGTTTAGTTTGGGATATTTGTGGAGGAGGAGAAAAATGGGGAAAGGAAAAGCTCTTGGTTTTGTGATGGCAAAATCAGCCAGACATCAGTTTAGAGAGATCTTGGTCTGCTTCACTCAGGAACAAATTTATAGAACTGATCCATGGTCTTAACTGCGGTGTGGAATGCATTTTAAATGAAGATAAGGCTCAAGAATCTTTCTTTTTTTCTTTTTATTTTTTGAAGCCTTGTTTAACTGCTCTCTCTTACAGCAAATAACACTAACAGCATGCGAATGCTTTAAGGGCTAAGGGTATAGCAAATCTGCATGATATCCACAGCCACTTGCTCTTACTATGGGGAAAAATATTGAAAGGTCATTGCAATTCTGCTGCAATAATGGGCTTCACTTGTGTTCTGTAATTAACTGGGGGAAATGATTTACAGCTATTCTTAAGAATATATTAGGAGACCAGTATTTAATATTTTGTTGCAGATGCCTAGCAGTGATGGTCAGGATCTCTTGGCATTACAGAAAGCCATTCATTCTTCTAATCACCAGAGCAGCCGGCAGAAGGATTGGCATCCTGAGAAGATGACAGAAATCCAACCTCATGTAAGTGGCATTATCAATTCCCTGTATTTTAACATCACTGAGGTATCTTGACAGCTTTTTCTCTGGTGAATAGAAAAATTGCATTTGACGTTATTTCCCAACCTTCCCGTTGCCCGCTCATTGAACGTAAAAACTCATGCGCCTGCAGTCCTGCAGAATTCTTTGAAAATCTAGATATGAATGACAAGGAAAAGAAGAGAGACTAGATGTCTCTGTGTCAGTCTTTGAGCCTTTCGAAATACCGGTTATGTTTTTGTTTGAGAGGCGATCAACATTTCAGTGCACGTCTGTGGTGGCTATGCAGCGCTGCAGAAAAGCCCTCAAATTAGCTCTGCGGGGAATGGTGCACCCTGAGGGCGCGCTGCTCCTTGGCACAGTTTGATACTTGATGGGGTCAGCAGAGCATCGTGACCATGTGCCGGTGCGGCTGTGCCTCAGGTGGCACAGGCTGCGGTTTAAGCAGGCTCCGTTATTGGAGCATCGCACTGCACTAATGCAACTCTATTTTCTCCAGTTCTAAAACCAGCTTGGCGGGCAGGGTTCGGGAGGGAGCTTCAGTGCCATGCTCTGTGGCCATTACAACATTGAAAACCGAAGAAGAGGATTTCTTGCAGCTGCAGTGTTTGAAGAAGCAAGTGGCACTGTCAGCTGTGGAATTAAATGAGGCGTTTTCATACCACCTTGTGTACTCAGGCTTCCCCAGGCTCTTGGTACCCACTTCAGTAACCCCGTGTCTCCATTTTCCTTCAACGTGCTCACCAGTTGAAGAAGCTGTGAGGGACTAGAGCCGCTTATCATCCAGCTGCCAGCAAACAAGTATCTAACTGCTGAGTTCTGCCAGCCCTTATTTCAGTGCAGACGATTACTCAAGACTCTCTCTAAGCCCTCACTGATGTTCACAAAATTTTTAGGAACTGTGTATTTCTGGTGTCTGTGCCTCATAAAATGCGGCTGAGGTTCTAAAGTTAGTGGCAGGAGTAGCGACAGATGGACAGTTAATGCAATTGTCTGTGCCTCCATTTTCATAGTAACCAAGGTTAAGATAATTGATGGGAAGTTTTTTTTCTGATATAGAAAAGGTTCCATCTGTTCAGGTAGCTAATAGATTGAATCATAACGAGAAGACATTTTCTCAGGTGTGTAGTCATACCTTGGAATGAAATATTCCAAATGAATGCAAATTAGAAGTGAAGAAGTCCTGTGAAGTTCAAGATGTTCAGTTTAGGATCTGACAGTTCTGTTACAGGAATTCTGGTATGATAGGGAGTAGAAGGTCACGTACTTTTCTGCGTGTCTTTCAGAGCCAGCCATTAAAATCTCTTCGAAAGCTCTTACACCTCTCCTCTTCAAATCATCCTGTCCCTGCTGAGCCTCGCTTCCAGCCCTTACCAAGTCAGCCAGCCAAAGCTTCTTTTTCTGAAGTGCGAATTCACCCCATGAGTCAAAGCTCCAGCAGCGGCAGCAGCAACGTGCGGCAAGAGCCTCAGCCGAAAAGCAGGCCGACGCTGCAGATACCGAGCCAGCTGGAACCGACCTGGCACGTCTCCCCCGTAAACAGAGGCGCGAGCGATGGGCCTCCCTACTCCGATCAGCTGCCTTCCAAGAGCGGACAGAACGGGCCCACGTATAACCGAACAAACCGATCACGAATGCCAAATCTGAACGATTTAAAAGAGACAGCCTTGTAATTGCACTCCAGAAGATAGGCCAGTTCAGGTGGAGATCAGCGTAGGGGAGTGGCGGTGGTTCCGGTGATGGTAAGACTGCATTTTCAGCTTTATAAAGGTGTGCAATATGTACATGTGGAGCTATGCTGTTTGGCACCACAGTGAGAGTCAGGGATTATACAGTAAAACAAGTTGAATTTATGAATTACCGGTCATCAGAAATGTCACTGGATGCCAGGCGGAGTGTGCCGGTCAGGGAGAAAAACGCGTTGCCATTTTCTCTCTTTTACATTCCAGCTCAGTGCACACCTCTGTCTGAAAGCTGGGAGACTTCTGGTATGTATTGGCACTTATAAGGGTGAAAACATTCATGTCCAGACCTATGCCCTTACTACATTTTTTGCTGCCTAGTTAAAACAGTGGGGTTTATGTGATAAAAGTGTATCCCTGTTAAGGGTTTAGGGTTAAATTGTATGTCTTAAATTTGTTTTTTAAACTTCCATATTTGATAGGATTTGTAATATTTATTTATGATGACCTAATATCGTACTGTTATAATCATATCTTTTATGTTATAATGTAAAGTTATTTTGAGCTGTTTGAAACATTGTGAAGCAGTGCAACAGCTACAGTAGTTTCTATAAAAAACTAACAGTATCATTTATATATTGCATCAGGAGTATTTTATTCTATATATAAATATATATATAAATGGAAAATAACTGTCTGTTTTTTAAATATACTCATTTAAAAGAAAAGTATTGTTATGACACTATCTGCCATATTTTTATACATTTGTGATATAAAGTGCAGTATTATACTTCTAATAAAAGGAAGTTGAATGTGGATATAAACGTGACTGTAACAGTATGAATCTTGCTCAGCTATGGGAGCCCGGTATTACAGGCATTATTGGTAACAAACAAGAGACAACATTCAATTCCAACCTTTATTATGGGCTGTTTTGTTGGAAGTATTGGCTAACGTAAGAGACTGCAGAACTGTACAGTAATCTAAATGTGGTACGTTCTCCCCTGTGTCCTCAGCTTTCCTAGTAATATCAATGGGATTCCTGCATCTGCATCAAGAGCCCAGAGCCCCAGTACCAAATTTTGGTTTCCTCAAAAGACATAAAGTGCCCCATGACTACAAGCTAAAGCAGGTGCTCTTCCACTTAATAGCAGGGGTGAAAACCAAAGAAACATAGCATGAATTGCAAGTGAAATGCCAAACTTCGACACTTACGCATAGCATGGCACTGCAGATCATGGTATAAGCTTTTATGCATATGTGTATTTTACATCTTGTTTAGCAATCTATTAACTAAGAAGGTAAACATTGTATTTAAATTTCAACTACTCTTGCACTTTTTATTATATTTCAGGATGTATTTAAAGCTACAAATCTAATCTTTGGATTTTGAGGGAGAAGGTTGCCGTGCAGCTTCATTTCTCCTTAGGTCTTACTACCCAAATAGTCCCGTACACAGTTCAGTTACCAGTCTCAGCAAAATACTAGATCTTGGGTTCCAGTCTCCTGTACAACATTGTTAAAACTGCCTTTACGTTGGTCAGTGTCGAGTGTAGCAAATACGCAACCCAATTCCTCTGTTGCTACCGGTAAACTAAATCAAAGGCGAGCCAGTAGGAGTCAAAAGAGTTATGCCAGTCTAAACTTTGTGCAATAAGAGAGTCAGGCCTGTAGTGTCAGAACAATACAATCTTTCCTTTTTAAACACATTAGTTCAAGTCCCTCGTTACTCTGCAGTATAGTTCGTTTTCTAGATGCTGTCCCTCATCAGACACTTGTACTTGCAGATACATTGTCTTTTCCAAAAAGAGATTAACCTGAGTGTGAATTTGATGATTTAGCCATAGATGTAGTTAAGAGAAGCAGCCAGGCAGCGAGAGCTGAACTTCCTACTTGGATAACGATGCAAACTGGACATGCTGTTCAGTACCTCTCGAGTCATACCAAAGTTCTAACTACTGCAAATTCGACACCACTACTCTAAAAATCTTTGTCAGAAAGTACAATATGAAAGGATGTTACATCAGGTTTGTCCAGGGCTAAAAGTCAGTCTAGTAAGTGTGAAAAACTACAAAATAAGAATTCTTTCTTTGTCAATTGCCTGCAAGAAATGTGCATGTGATTTTCTATGGATAGATATGATATATGATATCTAGATATATATGATATATACTGTGTTGTTATATCATATATATAGCATATATAAATACAGTGGACAGGAAAGGGTATTCAGTTTTTGATAAGTTCAGTGGGCATCCAGGAAAGACATTGTGATATTTACTGGTCATCGCTCTCAGAGTTTAGCAGCATATTTTAGCAATCTCTTTTGGATTCACCAGTTGGTCACAACTAGGTTAGTCCTGTTAATCCTGCTTTGAAATGGGCTGATGCCACTGAAATCCCCCACAAAAGCAGCAGTGTCCAAGAGTGGGGCTCTGAGCAGTGCGGTTTGAATGTCTCCGAGGGAGTGTTCAGACTAGACTCTTCTGTACTTTGTGAGTGTGCATCTTTTTGCCTCTGCAAGACTTTTAGATTGCTGGTACGAGCTTCACGCTGGGGATGGTGATACTGGGCTGTACGTGGCTGTTCTGATTTCTAGCAAGGAAAAATGTTTCCAAAGGATTTTTTTTTCTCAGTACCCGTTCAGTTAAATCAGGGTAATCTCTGACTGTACATAGAGCTGTTTAAAGTAGTTAGCAAAGCTTCAAAGGTGACCCAAGGAATGTTCAAGTATTTGGTGGCCCATATTTACAGAAAGTTTTTTCTACTTCATACTGCATTTTCTTCTCAAATTCAACAAACTGTAGTAGTTTTCGTTTGAATACTAAATTGTGTTGAATGTATGTAGTATTTTCTTCCTTCTGTTGGAAAGAAATTCCAGCAGCTCAGCCAGCTGGTGCTGGGATAAACTGTGTATTTTTAACCTGGTCTAACTTCCCAATATTTAGAATATTGCTAATGTAATTTTGCCGAGGCTTCTGAAGGAGTCGTCTTATAGTGAATGAGATTTGCTGGCTCAATAAAGGGGAAGAGAATTACAGAGCAAAAGATTTTCTAAGTGTGAGCTTTCCTCTTCACTGGTCTGTGAGTCTTGTGCTACATGTTCTATAGATTTACTTAGTATAAAGTATCTTAGTTAAACTGCATTTTATTCTTTGGCAATCTGTTTTGCCTTATGGCATCATTAATGATGTGAATAGAAAAGAGACTAACTTTCAGAAATTAATCATAGTCGTTTTGCAGCACTCAAGCTGCCAAAACTTGTCTATATGTTTTTACTATAGCTCTTGAGCTCTTTTTAACTGAAAAAAAGAAGCACCTTAAGCTCATCTTAACTGAAATTGCGTTTAAGCTGTCCTTTTAAACTGCCATGTAAATGTGTTAACCTAGAACAATGTAATTTTTTTCAACAGACCTGACCACAGAGAACAGTCCCTTAGAGCTGTTTAATGCTTTTTGCTCCATTTATTGCAGTCCAAGATTTGTCGCTCCTCTGAGAGGTTGCCAGCACGGAGCAGAGTTCTTGGCAGGAAGTCAGTGATCCCAGATTCGGTCCCTTCTTCCTAGAACATTCCCCATCCCATAGAGCTTGGGACTGATACCAGGCTTTGATTTCTGATACCAAGTCAGACCCACTTAAATGTGTGTCCTGACACCGCTCTGTTGACAGATACTCGCTCTTTTAGATCAATACTAAAGCAGGCTTCAAACTTCCAAACGTACGAGACGCCCCTCAGGTCGCCCTTAGGCTTGTCGCCTTTCTGCTACACCAACTCGTTTCTGGGGGCAAAGCTGGAGTGATTCTTCAAGAAGCAGTGTCCTGTGATAGGCTTTGAGCCAGTCCTTGTCATTGCAGTTTTAGGTCTCTTAACAGATGAATCTTACGAGTGTAAAAAGCTACGTACCAACCTTTTCTTTTTAATTCAAAAGCTGCTGTAGCTATTAGCTGAGTAGTCTCCTGTGTTCACCTGGAAAAAAGCAATGCATTCTTAACCATTCAGTGCTGAAGACCTCCCTTATAAGAATGGGAATACGGATTATATAGCTCTGGAAACACTGTTTTGATCTATTTAGCTAAGGCCAAACCCAGCCGCTTTTGAGGGGAGCCACGCTCTAGAAGTGTTTGGGGTTTTTATTCGTGTTTCAGTTTTTTGTTGCCTTATAATGATTTGGTAGTGAGAAATGCTTCAAAAAAAATCTGCCTGTAATTAATTGTGCTGAACACTGTCAGAGTAGAGCTGGGAGGATATTTGAATCCCAGTCACACAAAGAGTATGAAAAGGATAGCCATATATAATACACTGCAAATTGTGGGGTGGCAATGAATGTTTATTTTTTTCCATTCCAGCTAGCATACATAATGCATCTATTAATGGGGTTATATCGTTAACCATGCACGTGGGCTGTTGTTCATGTAAGTAGGCCCACCGTTCGAAATAGGATAGTAGCGTCACAGAAGATGATTGGAAAGGTGATGTGCCCTATTCAACCATTTTTTAAATGACCTTCAAATCAGGACACCATTTAAGAACAGGTGCCTTGCCCTACACAGCTCTTTCTAATGGTGTAATGATATTAACCGTTCATTAACTGCATTTGTAGTGAATGAGGAGAAAAGCCATTTAACTTCTGGCCTTTATTAAAAAGGGAGCGATTTGAGTAAACCCTTCTATATAACACAGCTTGGAAGTTCTAGATGTTGGCTCGTTTTTCAAAGGGTCAAACAGCAGCGGTGCATCAATGCTTAGGCTCATCAGGCAAGTGAAGGCTTGTGCACATCACTTGGTTCAGATTGGTACTGAAATTGAAGAATTTCTCATTTTGCAAGTTTCATGAAAATTAGGCAAAGCATATTTTATAAGAGATCCTCTTTCAGTTGGAAGAGGAAAGCTGTGCGAGCTCATCTGAGTCCACTCTCTCAGTGGACTGTCTTAACAGCTACTGCATGAGACAGCACAGGTAAATCTGATGGATTAGGTCTGAATTTTACTTGCTCCGAGGTCTGTTTGGATGCTTACTTGTTACCTTGCATACAGCCAATTGTTTGGTACAAAAGTGCTATTTTTGGCAAACTAAGTGAAAGACACATGAGAAGTATGAGAGGACCAGCCCCACTTGGATGCTTTCATTCCACCAAATCAGATTGCTTCTCAGGCTCTCTTGAAATGTAACTCAAAATATGCAGCCAGGCAACAGTGGCTCTTCAGATGTGGCCCAAGAGTCTGAACACAGAATATGTGACTTAGGCTAAGAGTGACTCTACGCATC